ACTAGCAAAGAAAAACAAAAAAGATGGGCTTATTACACTAAATAAAAGACTGTATCCCTTCTGTTCACTGGAAATGTCAGCATATCATCTCACGAGAGAGTGGCTGACTGACTATGAACGATCTACAAAGTTTTACCCTGTTTTCAGAAAACATTTTGAACAATATTTTTTTTTACCAAATATTTTCTCTAAGATATTTATCGAAACCGTTTTGTCATAATTCTGCAAACTTGTAACACACATTTTTCATCCAGCAGGAAAACCTACTCCCACACGCTATTTATGTGATTGTAGTCGACAATGAATTTTCTCCACCCATCATAAAAGCATTTTGGCAGTAGGAGTGGCAATTGCAGTAACCTTTAAGTAGTCGAGTCTTTTTTTTTGTTTGGGTCCCTTGCCCATTTCTATGATATTGACGCCATCTGATTAATAGAAAACCGTGCGTATGATAGTGCCCAATAATGTATTACGTACATAATTGTTATAACATATAACTGTTACACCATATAGATGTTTAAGATAATTATAGATGTTTGTGAAGGATCTGAGAGCAATGATAATTTTAGAAATGACGGTGGTGGTGATGTTAACTGATGATGCGGGGTGGAGTTTATGTATATAATTATTAAGAAGACCTGCTTCTGTTAGTTGTTATTTTTATATAATGATAGCGTTAGTCCTATCTTCCTCTGCTCTGATGAGTCACGAGGTATGTGGGCACCCTCTATCCCGTTCCCTATTGGAACCATCTTTAATGTCACCGTGAAGTTCCGAAATGGTGGGCATAGTCTCTGCTAAGGTGACCTTGTTTGTGTTAGCCTATTCTAGCGCGCCAAGACAAGTGAAGAAAGTGAATTCGAGTAAATGTTGGACGAAAACGGGCGGGACGAAAGCTGGTACGACGAAATGCTAAACTGAAAATGTGAGGCCTCATGGTGAAATCTGGCGCTCGGCAAAATAATGAAAATAAAGATATCGTCATTTTTCCTCCAGTTTGATACTTTTTAAAATAATTTCGGGATTTTTTTTTTTGGCTGAACACCTTTTATGTTCATATTATTATGAAAACATTTTCATTCGAATTTTACTGAAGAACCTTGTTTAAAGGCACAAAAACTGTAATTTTCAGTTCTCAAAGACTCTTCATATATTGAAGCTACCAAACATTGGCAGCCATTTTCTCTTTAATTTAATCTCCTTCTTCAATCACAAATATATCGACGTCTATTCATGATATCTGAGTATTATTTTTCTCCGAAAGCAAGGCAAATGAACAGGTTGTTAAATTATACTAGTAACTGCACATGTTCAAAAACTAACGAGCGCCTGAATCCATCACGCCGTGCCACAAATTGGGAGACGGAAAGAAACGGATAGTTCTCCCCATTAAAAGTCAACAACAAAAACAGACGTTTGGAATGTCTCGACGACCACAGAAACGGCATTGGGGATCCTTATGCCATTGTAAACCAAATTGCTCTTCAGGGATCAATAAGTCGGTGGTTGTCGGGTGCTCTGGTGGGGTTTGCTTTTTCTTTCCTATCAAACATCTATCGTCTTTATCTCCCCTTATTCTTTTCTGTGTTTGTTACTCTCTTGTAACACCTCTAATCTTCGGCACTTAATCGACCTTATTGTGTTGCATGTGCCGTAAACATTTACTGAAACAAAAACAAAGGGATCAATAAAAGTGCAATTTATTTATTTATTTCATTATTTTATTTATTTCTGATCGTGTCCAGGTATGGTCCTCTCAATGAGTGGCTGCTCCAACTACAGAAGGACGAGCACCGACCACGCCTCCTCACCATACCTGACCACCCCATGCAGTTTGATCTCATCATTACCTCCGGGGCTTTTGACGGGCTACGTAATGTAAGCTCTTTCCGTGGGTGGTTGGCCGGTGCTCTGTTGTGGTTTTCTCCTTCTTTCCTATCAAACATCCATCGTCCTTATCTCCCCTTCTTCTTTTTTATGTTTGTTGCTCTCTTATAACACCTCTAAGCTTCTGGCGCTCATATGATCTTATGCAGTTGCGAGCGCCGTAAAACCTCTACTAAAACTAAACTGAAGCTCTTTCCAATCGTTGTTGTTGTTGCTGTTGTTGCTGTTGTTATTGTTGTTGTTATTGTTGTTGTTATTGTTGCTGTTATTGTTGTTGCTGTTGTTGTTGTTGTTGTTGCTGTTGTTATTGTTGTTGTTATTGTTGCTGTTATTGTTGTTGCTGTTGTTGTTGTTGCTGTTGTTATTGTTGTTGTTGCTGTTGTTGCTGAGAGAGAGAGAGAGAGAGAGAGAGAGAGAGACAGACAGACAGACAGACAGACAGACAGACAGACAGACAGACAGACAGACAGGATAGAAACAGAAAAGAGGTAGAGAAAATGGTAGAGGTTAAATAGAGATGGTGCAGAAAATTACCAAAATCAATTCTTTTTCAAAATAAAATTTCTCTTTTTCCCGAATGATTTCCAATGTTGCTCCTACTTACAGGCTCTTCATTGCTTAATGAATGAAGACGACAGTGTCATCCTAGAGACAGAGGTCTTTGGCAACGTCACAACTGCGGTAAGTTATCAGCTGTTTCTGGGACTTTGATGATAATGATGATATTGATAATACTAATAATGATAATAATAATAATAATAATAATAATAATAATAATAATAATAATAATAATAATAATAATAATAGCCTAATAATAATAATGATAATAGCTTAATAATAAAAATAACTATAATAATAATAATAATAATACAGCAATATTAACAATAGAATTGATACTACTACTACTACTAATACTAATAATAATAATAATAATAAAAATAATAATAATAATAATAATAATAATACAGCAATAATAACTACAGAAATAATAATAATATTTTAAAAAAATAATAATAATAATAATAATAATGATGATGATAAAAATAATTATAATAATTATAATCATATTAACAGTTTGCATTATCTATCTGGTTCTGTTTATCTTTCTATTTATCTGTCCATTTATCTATCTATCTATCTATCTATCTATTTGCATGAATCTGTTTGTCTGTCTTTTATTTGTCTGTCTTTCTATAATATGTCTATCTATCTGTCCATTCATCCATTCTTCCATCCATCCACCCATCCATCCATCCCTCAATCCACCCATCCATCAATCCATCTAACCATCCAATCATCCATCTAATCATCCATCCATCCATTCCTCCATCCATCCATCCAACCATCCATTCATCCATCAATCAATCCATACATCAATCCATCTAACCATCCAACCATCCATCCAACCATCCATCCATCCATTCCTCCATCCATCCATCCAACCATCCATTCATCCATCCATCCATCCATCCATCAATTCATCTATTCATCCATCCATCCTCCCATCCATCCATCCATCCACCTATCCATCCATCCATTCACCCATCCATCCATCTACCCATCCATCCATCCACCCATCCATCCATCCAACCATGTACTCACCCCCAGGTCCAGCTATATGGCACAGAAGTGGGCGTAGCCCATGACGACCAGGGTATCATACCTGGACACCTTGAGCAACTTCTGTCCACCTGGCCACAGACACACCCAGGCAGACCCCTGCCCAAGGCCGTCTACGTCATCACAGCTGGGAACAACCCCACAGGTGAGATGGTGCCTGCTGTCATGATACATCTTTTGCTTTTGTTTCATTTTGGGTTGTATTGTTTGTTTGTTTTATTTTGTTTTGCTGGTGGGGGGTTTTTGGGGTTTTTTTATGGGGGTTTTGGGGGAGGGGGGGGTTGGGTGGGGGGGGGGGGGGTTCAATTTTTTGTTTTATTTAAATTTCCGTAGGCCCATCAACTCATTTTTAAGAACTGTCGAAATTGCCACGCCTTAACTATCAACTGTCCAAGACAATCACAAGTCCAAGACAATCACAAGTCCAAGACAATCACAAGTCCAAGACAATCACAAGTCCAGGACAATCACGAGTCTAAGACAATTACAAGTCCAAGACAATCACAAGTCCAAGACAATCACCTGTACAAAGGACCACTTCCCACTTCCCACCAAGCGCTTTTCATCGCATCACAATAACACTGTCCAAAACGTTGAACTGTCTAAGAAAAATAGTTTTCTCCTCGACAATGAATGGTTGTCCTGGATAATCTCGATCGTTGTTGTTTGGAGTTTTTTGCGTTGCTTTCGGTGTATAACCTAGCCCGGGTAAACCCTAACAAGCAAAGGGGGCTCTCGTGGCCTAGAGGTTAAGGTGTTGGCCTCTCGTTCAAAGGTCCTGGGTTCGAATCCGTGAGGCGAACGAAAAATTTGCTTCCCTAAAATGTATTGTCTCCTTTCACCTCCTTTTCTGCTCTCTAGCAATGTTCTGTCGTCTGCTTTCGTCTATTCTTTCTGCCCCCACCCCCTCACCTCTTTTGCCCCCTCCTTTGGGCTCCCGACTCTTTCTCCAGCCTTTCTACTGTTACTCCTTGGCTCCTTCTTACTGCTGTCTTTCAGCTACACCACTGATATTCTGGTAGGAAATATGTACTCGTACACCTAGCCTTCTCGGACAAGGGCGAAAAATCTCGGAGGACCCGTGTGCAAGTTGCGCACGTTAAAGATCCCTTGGTGGTCTAAAATCGATGAGAGTAGGCTTCGCCCGCAACCCGGGCGAAATTCAAAATTTCCTACCAACCGAAAATATTAGGTGTGTTCCGCGCGCTCATATGCTCTTAAGCAGTCGGGAGCGTCGTAAAACACTTACCCAAAAAAAAAAAAAAAAACCATAAAAGAAACTAAAAGCAAAGCCGAGCCAGCCAGCCAGCCAACCAGTCTCCAAAAAGCTCTGAATTTAACATTGTTTACCTGGGGCTAAAAAACAAACAGACAAAATAAAACATGAACAGTCACTTATTTTCAGGGTACAACTGGAGTGAGCAGCGTATGGTGGACATTTACTCTGTGTGCAGGAAGTACAACATTCTCATTCTTGAGGACGGCGCCTATTACTTCTTACAGTTTGGTCAGGTGAGCCATGTAGTAAAATCTCTACTAAAACTAATACTAAAAATGTTGGTCGGTGGTTCCACTTCAAACGAGTCTAAACACTTTCCTTTCAGAGGGTCTACCATTGATCTATCTTTCTTTCTATTTATCTATCTATATATCTATCTATCTTTCTTTCTTTCTATCCATCTAACTTTCTTTCTTTCTTTCTCTTTATCTCTCTCTCTTTCTTTCTCTCTATTTCTCTAGCTCTCTATTTCTCTCTTTCCATCTCTAACTCTACCCCTTTTCTGTTCTCCCACACTCATACTCTCTCTCTCTCTCTCTCTCTCTCTCTCTCTCTCTCTCTCTCTCTCTCTCTCTCTCTCTCTCTCAGTACAATATGTATTTAAATATCTTTCTTTACCTCGTTCTTAATCTATTTCATTCTCTCTCTGCTTTCTCTCTACGGCTCGCTCATGCACCCCCCCCCCCTCTCTCTCTCTCTCTCTCTCTCTCTCTCTCTCTCTCTCTCTCTCTCTCTCTCTCTCTCTCTCTCTATCTATCTATCTATCTATCTATCTATCTATCTATCTATCTTTCTCTCTCTCTCTATCTCTCTCTCTCTTACTTTATTTCTCTATCTTTGTCTCTCTCGATCTCTCTTGGTCTTTATCTTTATCTCTCTCTTTATCTCTCTCTCAGTCTCTCTTTCTATCTCTCTCTTTCTATCTCTATCAGTCTATCTATCTATCTATCTATCTATCTATCTATCTATCTATCTATCTATCTATCTATCTATCTATCTATCTATCTATCTATCTATCTACCGATGTGATTGTGACCTTCTAAATACATGTATCTTCGCGCTATATTTCAGAAACGAAACCCAAGCTTCCAGTCCATTGACATGGATGGCCGAGTCGTACGCTTCGATTCTTTCTCCAAAGTTTTTGGACCTGGGTAGGCCAACATCAAGCATTTTACACAAGATAGGTCACTTCCGAAAAATGTTGTCTTCAGCTTTAAGATAGCTTGAATATTGGCACCGTTGCCGAAAAGAATGAGAATTTTTTTTTTCGGTTTTCAGTTACGAGAGTGACCCATCTTGTAAAGTATAATGTAATATTACGGTCTCCATAACAGAGTAATCGTCGACACTTCTTCTTCTTCTTCTCGATCGCATCATACTTAAGTCTGGTATCTGCCATAAATTGGGCCGTCCTCCTCAGTTCATCTGTCGGCCCGTATAGCTTCTCTTGTAGTGTCAGTTGGGTAGGCCACGTTTCCTGTCTCAGGGCCCTGGGTGTCTTGTGGTGCTGAAGGATGTGTGTGTGTGTGTGTGTGTGTGTGTGTGTATGTGTGTGTGTGTGTGTGTGTGTGTGTGTGTGTGTGTGTGTGTTTCCTGTCTCAGGGCCCTGTGTCTTGCATTGCTGAAGGATGTGTCGTCGATACAAACCAGGTCATTCAGAAAGTGAGCTGGGTGATGAAACTAAGCCCTAACGGAAAGACGTAGGTCTAGATACGCGACGAAATAGCTGCTCTTCCGGAAACGATTGCATATGTGAGGCATCGTGGTGGAATCAGGCGCTCGTCAAAATAAAAAAATTTAAGAAAACAGCCTTTTTCCGCCGGGGTCGGGAATTACTTTAGAATTTTTTGTTTTTGACTCACACCTTTTTTATGTCCATTTACATATACCTTTTTGTATGGACTTTACTTTTTTTTAAACCGTTGATTAATGGACCAAAAAAAGTAAATTTCCATTTTTCAATGACTCTCAAGCTATGGAAGTTACCAAACTTTGGCGGCCATTATCTTGATAATTTTACATCTGAAACAAGGTGACCATTCCTTTTTTAATCACACTTCTATTCAATATAAATGGATATTTTTTGCACCCAAAGGAAGGCAAATGAACAAGCTTTAAGATGATACAAATAACCCTGTATGTCCAAAAATTGACGAGCACCTGATTCCACCACGTCGTGACACATGTATTATTCTTTGTATGTGAGTCATTACGAACGCATAAGCGTCTCTCTATAACAGTCGATAATGGAACCTGACACCACACCTTTAAACAACTCTGGGCGGACTGAGAAAAAGTGTAAAGAATGTGCAACGAGTCTCTGGTCTGAGCCAAGTAATCGTAAAACGAGGTAATTATTCGTTAAACGGCTCCAATAATACGTTCAGCTTTGTATAGAGTCGTACATACCCCCTCAAACTTTGCAAAAAGACAAATTAAATTAACAAACCATGAAAGGGGAAAAATGGGGGGGGGGGGGAGTACTAGACTAGCCACATTTAATCAGCCTCCTGATAATTGAATGTTTGTTCTGGGGTAGTAAATGTGAGCCATCCATTCGGAACTGGCTTGACTTTCTATATATTTGAGGTAGCGTGTTGAAATCAGGCGTTCGTCAAAATAACGAAATCGGAGGAAAAAGCATTTCCTCCCGTTAGGAAATTTTTATCGATTTTTTTTTTTTGGCTTAATCTCTATTATATCAATAAAAACACATTACCGTGTGACATTTTCTGGACAAACATTAGTTAAAGGCACAAAATATGTCATTTTCCAGTTTTCAAAGACTCTTGAACTATTTATTGGAGTTACCAAACTGTGGCGGCCATTTTCTCGCTAATTTCACCACTGAAACCAGGCGACCTCCTTTCCTTCAATCGCATATATCTTGAGTTCTATTCATAATAAATGGATATTTAATTAAAAAGCAAGGCAAGTGTGTGTGTGTGTGTGTGTGTGTGTGTGTGTGTGTGTGTGTGTGTGTGTGTTCTGTTTTGTTTGTTTGTTTTTTATGTGTATACCATAGACCCTCATTGGTGAGACAACATCTGCACAAGCGTAGAACGGCAAAGGAAAAAAATGCTGTTACCGGTGTTATTTTTGTGAATACTGCATCTTTCTCCCAATAATCTTCGAGTGAAATATCTGGGATTTGCGGTATACCTTAGGTGTTCCTGAGATGTCCCGCCTACTATCGCCCCAGAACTCGTCTGCTGGGACATTTCAGTAACCCACTTTCAGCACTTTTCAAGGACCCCCGAGCGACTGTTGAGTTTCTGCGTGCTGTCAGCATCGCTGACCGTTTATGACGCCACAGCGCCAGAAGAAAGAGAGAGAGAGAGAGAGAGAGAGAGAGAGAGAGAGAGAGAGAGAGACCTTAGACTCTGCTGCCTTGTGATCTCTTCAACAACCTCTCAAACGAAGAAGCGGAAAAAAATTCACTGTATTTTGTTGTTGTTATCTAGTATAAGTATCTTGTCCTAGAGGGTATCACTCAGTGATAAAACCTATTACCAGTTCAGATGAGGGTGTTTCTCTTGTTTGATATCGTTCTGATTTATATCCACCCTGAGCCTTCTTCGTGGATCAATAAATCTTATTTTACTTTATCTTATCTTATCTTATCTTATCATGTCTTATTTATCTTATGACAATGATAATGACAATGTCAATGACAATGACAATTTTTATCTTATCTTATCATATCGTATTTTATCTTGTCCTATCTTATCTTATGACAATGATAATGACAATGTCAGTGACAATTTTTGTCTTATCTTATCTTATCTTATCGTGTTCATCAATGTGTGCCCTCGAACACGACACGATAACCCTAGCTCAAAAACAGACACTGGACAATGGCGACCAGCACTGACCAGGGGATTGTCTTTACTTGTGATGGTGTATTCATGTATTTACACATTGATCTATTATTTTATTTTATTATTGTTATTTTCCCTTCCTCTGGTATCCTTAGGATGTCGAGGGAAGGTCAGGTGCGGTTCGTCCATAGAACACTGTCGTGCAGTGCAGCCCAAACATTTTTAATGTTCTATCACATAAAACACAAACAATAATCAAATAAAAGAAGCCAGAAACAAACACTAGCCAAATAGTTTATCAAAACAAGGTAATCACTGGCGCCATAACTGTCATTTCTATGTCTGTAGCAACGTTAAACATCTACTATGCCATGCCAAAGTTCACGCGCTTTTGCTAAACAGAAAAGGATATTCAACAGTGTAACCTGACCTATAAATCACTCTTGGGGATAACCCAAGCGATGACGACACTCGTAGCCAGTTTGGTGGTACCATTAATATTAATAAGCCGGCACATCTCAAATGTGCTCCGGCCGAATAATGCCGAAACATAGCCCACAGTAGGCAGTCTAAAAATAAACACGATAGACCCTACGCTATTCTTTGCCAATATTATGTGAGCCCCGGAGCAATCCAGCAGAGTGCTCAAGTGAATTGTGATTGGTTCATTGTTTGTCTTGCCACTATTTTAAGTGACTCTGTGACCATGAACCTGAGGAAGGTGAACGTGACTGCTCTATGAGTTGTGCCTTTGAATGGTTTTGTAGTGGAGTGTTGAAAGTTATTACATGTACTTGAGTGTGCAGTTCCAATACAGGATGAACGAAACTGATGTTTAGCTAACAAAGAAATTTAGTACTAGAAATCAAAGAGACAAGTAAAAAGAATGAAAATAAAAACACGAGGCCCTCCCTCACCAACCCAAAGATCCTAGAATTATACACCGTCTCATTTACTATGCCCTTGACTATCTTCAGCTTGCGATAGCTTAATTATTATTGTGCACGCCCACTTTTTAGCCCCCCGAGCCGCCCCTGGGGAAGGTGAGAGCTTTGGTCCAGTGCTAGGTGTGTAGCGCCGGAGATAGATATGTTATGGTGTTCCAGGACCTTTTTAACTCCATTCAGCCAGATCTTACTTGGTCTTCCTCTTGATTTATAGTCGGATTCTCGGGTGTTGTAAGCTCTAGCCGCTAGTTGTTTCTGGGACATTCTGATATGATGTCCAAACCATTTGACTCTTTGACGCTTTATGAATTTTATTACTGGTGGTATTCCAGTTAGTAGACGTATGGTTTCGTTTCTTATGCGGTCTCTTCTGGTGACTTTGATACATTTATTTATCAATGTATTTATGTATTTATGTAACTATATGCGCCGTTGGCAAACAAAGTTCCCAAATGGATCAATAAAGTTGAATTCATATATTTATCTTTTAAAAAAAAACAAGTGAACAAATCACCAATTTGTCTGTTCGAAACCTTACAGCAGGTGGTTGGAGGGCGCCACTTGTAGGTCCTACTTTTTTTTGCTTTCCCCTTGTTGTTTCTGTCTGTCTTTCTATTTTACTTTTTCCCAGCACTAAATGACTATTATTCTGTTGATGTGCTTCTACTAATATTATTCAAATGTCAGCTGAAGTCGTTTCTCTTTTTAAATTAATAAGATGAATATTTGGAGTAATTTTCTTTTAGTCAGAACACAACGTATTATGTTACTGTTGTATGTTGTACTGTATTGTAAAGTGCTCAAAGCATGTGTACTTTGCTCCTGGTTGAGCGCTATATAAGTGTCATTATTATCATTATTATTATTATTATTATTATTATTATTATTATTATTATTATTATTATTATTATTATTATTATCATTATTATTATTTTATTATTATTATTATTATTATTATTATTATTATTATTATTATTATTATTATTATTATTACTCAAACAAACAAGAACCCTTTCACACACAGGTACCGCCTGGGTTGGATGACAGGACCAAAAGAACTACTCCAGAAGATGGCCATAAATAAGCTTTTGAGCTCAGTGCATACCAACCAGTTCGCCCAGGTAAAGCGTGTTATTTTTCTTTATTCCTTTCCCTTACCTCATTCTTAAGAACACTAAAACTAAAATTGATTTCGCCAGACAATCAAGTCGTGGCGACGGTGAGTATGATCTGAATTCTACTGACTATATCATTATTATGTTTGTTTGTTTTTTGTATATGTTTGTGTTGTTCTTATTGCTGTCTGTTATGATGGTATTGTTTGCTTTGTTGTTGCCGTTTGCTTTGATTATTTTTGTTTAGATTTTCTCTTTTTTTTTTGCCTTTTTCTCGACCCACCCTGACAGGAAAAAACGCCTTGAAATTTATCAACTCTATTTTCTAAACTGTTTTTAGACCCTTTTGTTGGATAGTTGCTTTTGTATTATTATTTTCTACTGTATCTATTTTTCTTTATCATGCCTCAAGCACCAATTTTATTCTAGTTTTACTTTATAAATTAAAGCTTTTTCACAATCTGAAAACTACCTCTTCAAGTTGAAATCGTGTATGCAACGACTACCTTATATTAATATTATCTTATCTTTGTTCCACTTTTATTTCCTCAGGTGGTCATTTACAACGTGTTAAACCACTGGGGTTATGAGACATTCCAGGAAAAAGTGACGGCTGTGGCAGAGCTGTACAGGAAGAAAGCCATGTTCGTGGAACAAGTGGCACAGAAACATCTCAAAGGTACTTGCAAGAGAATTGAAGCGATGATGATAGGGATAACGTAGGAGCTTTGTTTTATGGCCTTTTGAGCTTTGAGAACTGTAATGAATGAATACTGTTATGAATTGTAAAAATGGGAATGAACTATGTTGCAAATGTTGCAATAACGATTCTTTGATATCACGATTATTTGCCCTTCTTGACACGTTGCATATTGTCTCGTTTTGAATTCAAGATCTTATTGTAAAAGAAAAGCAATAAATTCGTTTTCCCGCAGGCAGGCAAGCAAAGAGGTTGTGTTAGTGATCTTCTTTACAAGATTTAATCTTTTTTATAATGTGATGCAATATGAAACCGTCACAAGAACAATAATATGTATGAATACAGTTTTGCTTGGGAGGTAGACACTGAGGAAGTAGATTGCTAAAATACTGCTTTCTTCCCTTCAGATCTTGACCACCTTGATGTCATGATATTATTATTATGTTCCAAATTCATGAGAGTCTCGGTGGTATGGACTCATTTGTGTCGCAAAGGCTAATAAAAGCAGACTGCCGATTTCTTCTAGTGCAGGATGAATAGTTCAGGGTGACCGCAAAAACATGCCTGTCTATATTTCCTAAGTAATTTTACTTTCATGAAAGTATCTTTTTTTTAAAATAACAAGTCGTAAAGACCACCGTTTCGGACACAAAGTCGTGTGCAAATTTCATGTTAGTGAACGCTTTCTGGGAGACGCCAAATTTATGAGGACCGAAAGGACCATTAGCAGGTAATGGATCTCTCTGAATGTCATCCTGAAGTATCAGTGAGACAGCTGACTCGGCAGAGAGGGGACCTGAAGCGTGAGTCAGCTCGAAAGATATTGCAACAATGTGATCTCAGTCACCATTAGTATCATATTGCAGTAAAACAGAAACTGAACAGTAATGACATCGCAATAAGTGTTAACGTGTGCCAGTTATTCGTTCAGGAATTTGAAAGAAATGTTGACTGCGGGAACGAAATTAAATTTAACTCTATCCGTATGCCCTGGGATCATGTTGTACCCCCGGGGTTGTATTCTTCTTATTTTAGACTACTTCTAGTTCGAAGATCTCTTTGAAACTTTTAGTATTTCTCAAAAAATCGTTTTACAGACTGCTATGCAAAGCGTATGGATCGGATTAACGAGTAAACTTCCTCCTTGAAAGTGGTGGCACAGACTTCCCCAAGTCGTAGGGATACGATAGTAAAACACGACGTACGGCGAGATAGGGTTAATACGGTTTTCGGATGAAACACCGGTAAATTTCGATGGAAAAAAATCAATTCTAAGAACTCTGTACCCTGATCAGATACTGCATGTCCATGAGCATCCACTCTATGCAGAGAAGTGCACATCCTGTATCAGCCTGTGTGGCACTCAGCAGCCGCGCCACCATTTGTCCACTCTGATCTTGAGACTGGAAAGGTCTAAGGAGGAGAAAGCTATAGGAAGTAGCCTTACCTCAGCAGGACGCGGCCACACCGTATACAGCGAATGTTTCCCTGAAGTATATCTATGTGAATGTGAGGCAGCGTGGAGAAATCAGGCGCTCGGCAAAATAACGAAATCTCAGAAACGGGCATTTTTCTACGAGTTTGAACATTTTTATTGAATTTTTATTTTTTCACTTAACTTCTTTTATTCCCATATGAAAACACATTTCCATAAGAATTTTACTAATAAACCTTGATTATAGGCATAAAATATGTCATTTTTCAGTTTTCAATTACTCTTTAGCTATTGGATTTACCTGACTTTGACGGCCATTTTCTCGCTAATTGTACCTCTGAAACAAGGCGACCCTGGCCTCCTTCAATGGCAAGTACTTCAACTTCTATTCAACATAGATGAATTTTTTTCCATCAAAAGGAAGACAAATGAACAAGCTTTAAAATTATATCAATAACCCTATATCCAAAAAATTAACGAGCGCCTGACTCTATCAAGTCGTGACACCTATGGTCATTTCCGTGACCGACTCATGGGCCGCAAAACGAGTATTTTGCGAATTGGCTCATCACAGCCCGTGCTTGAACTCATTGGATTTCTTTCTTGGTAGAAGTAGAAGCAAATTGCAGACGACAGCTTATGACGAATATACGAAAGCGACAGGCAAATTTCTTTCGACACAAAAATGGGGAAAGAAGCATTGGAGAATATTGTAACAACAGGCAAGTGTGATGGAAAGGGAGGCAGAGGCAGACAGAGGGAAAAGATACTGGGCAAGATGACAACACGGCTAGGAGCAGCAAGAACAACAGACACCATCGCTGCAACTCAGGATATAGCGTAATGGAGGTCCATGATCTCCCACCCCAGTCGGCACCGGATGATGATGAAACCACTAACACCCTCAAACAATTGACGAGGAGTAAAAGAACATTGTAAATCAAAGTCGCTACGTCAACCAGTACTTGTGCGTGTAAGGGATTCGCAACTTTCTAACATAAGTACATGAATGTTTACTATTAAAATGAAAACGTGTTGAGCACAATGTTTAAATTTATCCCTTGATTAAAAGTTTTACTCAAACTGTGGTGGGAAAAGTTAACGTAGACAATTTTGACTTTGAATAACTGATGCAAAAGTGCCGAGGAATATCATCTAACTGACCATGAGTTACAAATATTTCGTATCATGTGCTGATTTTTAATAAAATTAATAATGGTACTTTAAAAAAAACGCTGCCATTTTAAGATGTTTGGTGCAATATATTTTAAACTTTCCCACATCCTGTCGTCAGAATTAAAATACAATACGTTAAGATACCACAGTTCTGAATTAAATGTGTAATGATTACTTGAGTTATTGGAGTTTCAGTGGCAGGCATTTTTTTTCTTCTGTCACCTGGCATAACGTAGTCTAAACAGCCGTATGCACTGCTCACCGTCGAACGCTCCGTATCCCGGACTCTAGCATGGAGATCATCAGGAGAGAATGCGTCGCTGTTTCGGGCTCTTCCTCTCTACAGCTTTTCTGACGCACCGAGCCCCCTCACCGATGTGAGGTCTCCATGTTAGTTCGACTGTTTTCCTCTGCTGCCACCTTTAGGATTCATTTCAGCTTGAGTCCTCTCGCTTCAACCAGATCCACTGACTGGCTTTCTCTGCTGTCTCCTGAAGGGAGTTTGTGAGTTCGTTGCTTTTTTTTGCAGTAAGTCCTGCCACTCTCATCCACTTACGGGCGCTTGTTGCTACAAAACCTCTGCATCCTACCTCTACCGGAAAATGGGTTGCCTTCCATCCTGCCTCCTCACATTGTTCGACGAGTGCCTCGTAACGGTTTTCTTTCCGCTCATGAGCGGCATAGATATTGTCCTCGTGGGGCACCGTGAGCTCTACCAAGTGTACCTCTTTGTCTTTTTCCTCCCATAACACAATGTCTGCCTTTTTCGTAGTTGGAATGGGGAAGAATCTCTCAAAGCCTTTTAAGTCAGCAGCTACTTCCCATGTGCCTCCGCTCTGGTCTTTCATGGCTTCGTTCGCTTTCTTTCTTTTGGCAACCTTGCTTCCTTGCGGAACGAACGCAATCTTGGTGGGTCCATGCTTCTGTATCTTGGGGGCATATTTTCCTTCTTCCACCTGTTGTGTCGCCATTTTCGTGAGCACTTTCAACACCTCGTTGTGTCTCCAGGTGTATCTGTTAAGAGCTAGGTTGCAGTTTGACAAAATATGCTTCATGGTTCCTAGCTTACCGCATCTACACTTGTTGTCCTCCTGTACCTTCCATCTGACAAGGTTCACCGGTGAAGGCAGAACATCATACGTAGACCGGAGAAGAAAGCTCAGCCTTGATGTATTCCACTTCCAGATGTCACTCCACCCGACTTTTCTTTCCACTACATGCTCTTCCCATCTGGTCATTTGTCCTTGCTGGCTACACTTAATGAGATGAATTTCTCGCCTCTCTGCCTCCATCTTTTGCATATGTCTTGTTGCAGCTTTTCTTCTGTCTCGCTGAGACATTTTCCTGAAAGGTCTAAAGTCGCCATTACCTAGCCCTAATCTGTCAGGTTGCGCTGGACCGACAATGTCCCCATGCTCCAATGCAGAGATGATCTCGTTAGCTGCAACTTCTGCCTTCCACTTTCTGGCTGTTTTGACATCTGGAGGTTTTCCACTGATCTCCTTATCCCTTGATTCTCTCAACATCAAAACGGTTCTAATCTTGCCTGCTTTGTAGATCTCCACAATTGACGTGAGAGGTAGTTGAAGCGCACCTCTATGTCTGTACAGGGATGACGTGTTAATGGTACGGGGTAGCCCCAGCCACTTCCTGATGTAGCTGTTACACTTTCTTTCGATCATCTCAACTCTTGACAAAGCAACTTCATACATTGTCAGTGGCCACGCCAATCGAGGGTAGAGGGCAAACTGTAGACACCATATCTTGTGCTTTCCTGGAAGCTTTGTCTGGTCAATTGCTTTCAGCCCATTTTCAGCCTGCTTCATGATTTCCACGCCTTGACTCCTATCAGACAGAGTTCCTGAGTACCACCGACCCAAACTTTTCACGGGTTGTTCTTTTACTGTGGGCATTTGCTCCCCTGCAATTGTGAACTTCAGTTGCTTCTGTTTTCCTTTGTTAATAGTCAGGCTTCTAGACTTTTTAGCTTTAAACTTCATCCTGGCCCAGGTGATAAGCTTATCGAGCCGATTCAACACACTTTGCATTGTGTCTCCATCTCTTGTCAGTAGGGTCACATCATCCATAAAGGCTTTCTTTGGTGATCTCACCTTTGCTTCTTCTTCACATTCTGCAGATCTCAGTAGCATCTCCATTACCAGGATGAACCAGATGACCGATATAGAGCAGCCAGCTGCAATCCCAATCTCTAGTCGGTGCCATTCCGTTGTGAAATTTGCGGTTGAGAATCGCATCTGGAAGTTACTATAGTATTCTCTCATAATGTTTTGCACCTCTTGTGGGACGTAGAAAAAATCCATTGCCTTCATCAGCAATTTATGGGGAACAGACCCGTAGGCATTCGCCAGATCCAACCACACTACGTTTAAACTTTCCTTGTTTTTCTTGGCCTCTTGGATTGTGTCCCAAATGGTGAAAGCATGCTCGATGCAGCCTGGGATCCCTGGTAACCCGGCTTTCTGTACCGTTTCATCCACATAGCCGTTACTTTGCAAATATGCTACAGTCCTCTTTGCAAGTATTCCCATAAAGATCTTGCACGTCACGTTGATGATTGAAATAGGTCTGAACTGTCCTATCTCCTTTGCATTTTGTTCTTTGGGTAGATACACGCCCTCCGCTCTGCACCAATCTTTGACGATTTCTTTGTCTTTCCAAAGGCCTCTTAGCATCTCAAAGAGGGTGTGTCTCAGCGTGTCGCAATACTTGAACACCTTTAAGACACGCCATCTCCTCCAGGTGCACTTTTTGCTCTTGCTTTTTTTACGAACTCATCTACTTCTTTCTCTCTAATTGGTCCCAGGTAATATTTGACGACGGGGGCAGCTGGACGCTTCAGGCCTCTCATATAAGGAAGCGGTTCTTCTCTTCTTGAATCGCTGTACGTCTGCTTAACATAAGCATCGAGTTCCTCTTTCGTACATTCCAATTTACCACTCCGTGCCTCTGTGAACAGTTTTTTTGCTGCTTCATAAGGATTCTTCAGAAATTGTTCACGTTCCCTTTTTCTCTCTTTTCTCCTGGTACACCTTCTTTCGTGCCTCTGTAGGTCTCTGCTCTTTTTCTTAAGATCTTCAAACAAGATTCTTAGGCCTTCTATCTCTTCTGGTGGTGCGTACTTTTTCTGCTTTTGCAAGTCTCGTTTCTGTTTTCTTAGCTGTGCAAGTACTCTCTGCCTTCTACTCAATCCACTTTTCTTCTCCGTCTTTTTCTTTCCTTCA